TTCTTCAGGTGTTGTATTATAAATATCATATGGTTTATGATTAATTAAATTTTTACCTTGAAAATAAGTTCGATTTAATAAATTAATAATTAAATCACTATGATTTTTTTTAATAAATGTTTCTATTGTTGATGTATTATTAAAAATATTTTCTGTTGTTTCATTAATATATTCATATGTTGATATTGATTCATTATCTATTGAATAATTTAATGTTGATAATAATGTATTATTATCAGTAGACGATAGAATTATTTCATTTGAAGATGAAGTTTCATTATTATATAGAATAGTATCAGTCGATAGAAATGAATGAGTACTGTTTTGTATTGATGTTATCTGTTCAGTTGTTATTAATGTTGAATTTAATGTTGTAGAAATAATTTCTGTTGTTATTGTTGAATCTAATGAAGTTGATATTGTTGATGTTAAATTTGTTATTAAATTATCAGTAGTTATATCAATATGAATTGTTGATGTATCGAATAGAAATTGAATTGATGGTGTTGTTGTTTGAAAAAAATCAAATTGAAATGGATCAAAACCATCATTAAAACGATCATCAGATTGTTCTTGTTGTTGATATGGTGATGGTGTTTCATCAATATTTGGATAATCAAATGCTTGAAGATAATTTGGAATATAAACTGAATGATGTTGAGCATTAAGTAAATCTTTTTTAAGAAAAAAAAATAAAAAAAAAAGATTTTTCAATAAAAAAAAATAAAACTAACCTACCTGTAATTAGATATATAAGGATGGTATAAAAAGAATAATACCACCATTTCAACATCGTTCGAAAATATTCAATTAATCAATACAAAAGAAAAAGAAAATAATGATGACGACGACGACGACCGGCGACAGCGGCCTAATCAAGTTGTTGTGTGTGCGGATTCAATTGCTCGAATTTCCCTCTTTACACGCGTATATACTTCGCGTCCCTCTCTATCTTTCTCTTTGTTTTATTCGTTTTCGTTATATTCCCTTTGCTTTGTGTGTATATGTGATTGTTTGTTTTACACTCGATCTTAATTGTGAAGAGAGGCGAAGGAGCTCCAATGTCCGGCGTGTATATATATATAGATATAGATATAGATATATATATTAGAGTAGAAGCATTGACAAGAGACAAAAGAGGAAAAGAAAGAATAATGAGTATAGAAGAAAGAAAAAAGATCACCTATCCTTTTTTTCTCGTCTTCTTCTTCTTCTTCTTCTTCTTCTTCTTTTTCGTCTGTCAACTTTCGAAATGATAGTATGTTGTACAGATTACGAATTGAACTAGTAAAAGTCATATGTATGTTTTGTTCAATTGTCACATAAGAATGAAAAAAAAAATTTACGAGGCAAGATTTACTAGAAGGTGACATTGAAAAGATCATGTTAGGTATTATATATATAATGTAAAAGTTCCACATATCATTGCGATAATTCTCTTTGTTCACGATTTTTTCTAATACCACAAAGTATGTTCAACAATAGCAAAGGTCGAGCTGGCTTAAAGTTTACATATACGTTTGCAAACATACATACTGTTGAATTTTTCTTTATTTCTTCTTCTTGTTTTTTTATTTCAAAGCATGTCAAAAGCCGATAGATGATGTAAAAAGAAATAAATCCTTCTCTTGTTCATTTATTGTCATTCTTTTGAATTCAACACATTTATTCATTTTGATTTAACATTTCAATGACATTCTTCAACTGATTATAACCTTGTAACCTTGTTCGGATTATCTTTTATGAATAGTGAAAGCTTAATAAGTACAATCAATAAGTGATATTGAGAACATGATAGATTAAGTATGATATCATTGCTGATAAATTTAGTAAATATTGAATAGAATCTTTGTTTTTCTTTTTTTTACAAAATTGTCACGTTCAGTGTCAGAAAAACGATTATAGTCATGGTTGCTTGCTCATTTCTATTTATGGCATGAAGTACGTTATAGTATATATCATTTGGTTTGATTTCTCTTCTTTCATTTCTTCATTCATTGATATTACAAACGCCTTGTTACGATCGATCATTTGTGTGTTTTTATATTCGTCTTGGTTGGTTGATGTGTTATTTTGTCCTTGCATTGATGAGTTGTTGTATGTGGTTTTCTTGTATTTAACTTGAATACTCAATCAAATTTATATTTCATATATTCTTAAAAGGTTGAATATAGAGAGAGAAAAAAAAAGAAGGGTAAGTAAGATAATACTATGATAGTGTTTTGCTCATGGATACTCTTTATCAAATTCAAATATCTTCTCAAGGCTGATAATATCCATAGGAAAATAAATGGTTATATTTCATTTAATTAATAATGTTAAATCAGCTTATTAACATAACTAGTTAGATTCCAACAATAATATTTGATTATTATAGATTATTTTGATTCATTTATTTACAAACTATATACTATGAAAGAAGTGATTGATTAGATAATAGAATAAAAATCAATTAACAATGACGACACTATTACCACGTGGTTATGGAAGCTTGCCTTCCTTTCAGTTTAGTTCACCTAATCAAATTCACAATCGATATTATAATAATACATATCCAAGATATGAAACATCTTTGACACGTCACTATCCAACTCAGCCACTTTATCAACCACCTTTCTATCCTCCTGAAAACTATACAACAACTGATCTCTATCAAAATCAAAAACCTAGTGTCGGTGCTCAAGTTGAAGCATATTTAAATAGATTAGATGATCAATATCGATATGAACGATTTGCACGTAAGTTAGGAAAAGTAGAAAAGCAGTATGCGAGATTATTAGGCAATAATTATGCATCAGGATTATCATTGTATTGTCCTGATGTAGTAAATGAATATGAAAAAGAAACTGAATTTGTACCAGTACCAGCCTTTATGAATCCTACTACGGAATCCTATGGTTCTCTTGGAAATATAGGTTATCCTGGTAGTCTTAATTATGAAACAAGTGGTAGTATGAGTTTACCACCAAAGGTCAGAGTTATTTTCATACCAACAGGTCAATCATCTTTTCAACAACCATGGACAGGTCCATTGGTGAGTAATTCATTTAATCAATTTAAAAAAAAAGCAACTACTAAAACTGAAAACTTTATATATTTTAGACGATGCCACCTTTTCTTTACAATCGTGTAGCACAACCTTTATATACATTTCCATTACCGCCACCATTACCACAACTAGGATCATTACCTCTTACACCTGCAGTTCAACAAATGGTCGTACAACGCTATAACAATCCTCTTGCTGTATTACCACCTTATACTCCTAACTGGCAAATACCTCAACTGATGATGCCCAGTTATTCACAATTTCAACCTATGGCACCTATATCAACCTTTCAGTCATTTACAGCTGCTCCACAATCTTACATTCCTTCTCTAATGCCAACTTTTTCACATGTTCCATCTGTACCACAACCCTGTATTCCTGCTCTGATGCCAACTTTTCCATCTCTTTCATCTGCTCCACAACTATACCTTCCTCCTCCTTCTAGCATGCCAGTGGATCAATCTATGCTATCACCACCATCTTTACAGCTACCATTGCCAAACGCTGATGTCGTTTCATCATTGCCTCAATATGTTAATAGTGGTTATCCAAGTATATGCCGTGCATGTCCACCAGCACCACCTGCACTGAACATACCAGTCACTGGTCATTGTTGGGTACAACATTGTGCTGCTTGTCATCATGTATCTACTTCTATTTCTAATCCAAATATGCGATCTACTGGTGGACGAATTACACCATTGCTTCGTTATCCAACAGTACAACAATATGTACCTGATCAGACAATACAACAACAAAATTATTTTCAAAACGAAGCACCGATTTTGATGCGTCCATGGTTACGAAAAACACCGCCACTTCCACCTGGTGCTATTCTTATTTCAGATGAATATATCACTGGTGATGGTTATTCTTCACGACATGATCGTTCACGAAGAAAACAAAGACGACATGAACATAGTTATTATCCTAAACAACGATCCAAAACTGTATCATCAAGAATAATAACTAAAGCAAATCCAGTAGTTATAAAAGTTAGTAGAAGTGTATCACCAAGAAGAGCAAGTAAAAATTATAACTATAGAATTCAAAATGATGAACTTGTTAAATCAAATAGTATCATATCAAAAAATTCATCAAGTAGTACAACAAGTGGTTTAACTGTTGAATATCACAAAGTAACATTGCATTCATTTAAGCCGATAGAAGAACATATTCCTAAACAATCAGTTAACGAATCTCGTAATATTAATCTTCAATATAATTATCAACCACAAGAATTATCTTCTGTTTATCATGTTAATAATTATTTAAAATCTAATAGTGAAACTTCTACATTAGCATCAAGTTTTAGAACATCATCCAATTGTTCTCCTTCACTTATTAAGGAATATAGTCAAATTTTATCACCATCAAATGATTTTAATTCAATAGAAGAAGAATCAAATTCAAAGAAAGAAGATATAAAATCAATTCGTCTTTTTTCTCAAATAGAAAAACCGAAAGAACGATGGATTATTATACGAGAAATTATGAAAAATTCCCCATCAATAATAAGTACTATTTCATCCAATTCAGAATTTTGTATTATGGACAAGGACGATAAATAAATTTGAAAACAAGTTCATTATAAACGAATAAATTCGAGTGAAATGACATCTTCCATCATGAAGTATTTTAATTTATAACTATTCACATATATTTATATTTTAATATAAGTATGTTAACTATCTTCTTTTCTTTTTTTTTTGATTTTGTCATATATTGTAATCATATTTTTCTTTTTACAAGGTTTTTAACAACTATTAACCTTCATCCTTCATATATTTAATTGAACTTTTCTTTTCTATGTTTATTTTTTATTAATTAAATAAATTATTGATTAATAATAAAAATAAGATAGTCTGTTTGATTCAAAATAAGAAAAATAAATTCAAGCAAAAAAAAAATAGTTCTGTTTAATTGTTTTTCTTTTTCTTACAAATCATTATCAACAAAGATAATCGACAGTTGATGATGCATTTATAACATTTTGTTGTTGTGAGACATTATTACTTGAATTTGATCCTGTTGAAGGAAACAATTGAAATTCTGATTGTTTAGCTACCTGTTTAACTGGTGGAAAATTTCGATCAACAGGTATATTAATATCAGATGTATGACGAAGCAACATTGACGAACTAGACATAACAAAAAATAAAACAAAAAAAAGAACCAAGGTTTCAATTAAAATAAAATTCTCACTTACTATGGTAAATTTGCTTCATACATTTTTTCATTTGGTACAGGTAAAATAAAATGTTCAACAGGATGTAATGTACCACTACGATCTATATATGTATCTCGATGTTCTTGAGAAAGCTAAAATAAATAAAAATATAATATTATTTTATAAAAAAAGAAAAAAAGAAATATAAATAATTAAACTTGATAAAATTTTCGTATTTCATTTGTTCGATCAACATTTGTATTATTAAGTGCATATTTTGGTATATAAAGATATTGATCACGACTACGACGACGGTCACTCATAACAAGTTCTGGTTGATGAGTATATGGAGTTGGAAAATAACCACCTAAAATAGACAAAAGACTTAAAGATAGAAATGTACAATTTCAATGAAAATAATATCGATATTCACTAAAAATATTGACATATCCATACACTACAGATATGTCAAATAAATCTCAATGAACATCAATTTATTGTAGTCAGTATGAATTTTTGATGAAAATTTAACCTC